ACGTTGCATGCCTAATCAAGATCCATCTTAACTTCATTTTACACTTTACACAAATAATCTGAACTCTCACGTCGCTCTAGTATTTTGCCAGAAACAGAAGAAAGGTTCGATTATTTTCGATTTCGAATAATCGAAGTTCGATTATGTTCGATTCGAGAAAACGTTTTAAACTGAAACGTTACCCACCAAATTTCACCCATGTACATTTTGTAAAGCTTGTAGTTCAGTCATCCCAAGTCAGAAAAATTTGCAAAACATCTCATTTTGTTCGGAACTGAACGCTCAATTCGATCATGTGGTTAGGGGCATGACAATTTTTGGACAACGTTCCACTTTAAAAGGTTTTCTAGAATACTCGGATCTTCAGAGTCCTTTATCTCAAAATCCCAGCGTATACCAAACTTTTTTGTTTTGAACATATAGTATCTGCAATGCCCTTTCATTTTAAACTGCCTTGCTCTTCGAGATAATCACTCTCCGAAATTATAGAAGTATATACGAGATTGGGACTTTTACATACTAAACGCCTACGTGAAATTCTGTCACTAGATTCGTGAACTTTGTTTCTTACGCTTAAACTGCTCGGCTCACGTTAATTTTTGCGTAAAAACGATTCTGTGAGAGTAGTAGAAAAGTAATTTTATTCAATTTTAAGTAATTTCGTATACTTTTGTTGGGGTAACGACCAATCATCGTAAGTATTTTCATCGAATAAACGAAATAAGCAGTTGGGTAGATCTCGGTGAGCTCTACTGAATGAGCTCCGCTTTTTTTAATTTTGACCAATTTTTGATGAGATAAAGTGCGAAATCGAGTGTGAGAGAATTTCACTATTCTCGTTTTATTCAAATTAAGCACTTTATATCAAAACGAAATACATGTTCTGAAAGCCGTGATATAAGCAAACATTTTTATGTAAATGATATCAAGAAACAATGTGTCACTTGTTCAAAAAATGGCATCTTTAACACTAAAATGCAGGTAAATCTAATTAAAATACACATGAGTTTTTTTTAAAATTTAAATATCTCAGCAAGCATTTGCGACCTGGAGCTGCGGTTTGCACTAAAACTCATCATATCCTTCATATTTTTTACTTAAATTATCGAAAATTCATCTGCTGAAAGTCATCTCCGGGCATTCCATAGTGCTTGAGTGCTCAAAGCACTAAGATAGGTGAAAATCATTATATTGGTCAAGTATTTCAACTGTTGACCCATGTGGGCATATTTCTGACAGACTTATTTATAGCTCATCTTGAAGCTCGTGAAATTCTCTATCGAATGTATATGTATTGTAGTGGCTAGTTGAGAAACGTTCATCATACAGAGAAACGTTGAATTTTTCGAAAAAACGGGGCCTTACAATTTTTCGACTTTTTTCGAGGAAAACGCGCACTGAAAATTATCTAACTATGATATTCATGATCAGCGTCTGTATCGAATGAGGTGTATTTGAGACAAAAAATATCTTGCTCGATGTCTGAATTAGCGGAACCCTTAATTTTTGAGCAGTTTGTTGATGATTTGATATTTATTCCTTTCATAAACTGTATTATATGTGTAATAGAATTTAAAACAAACTAAATTTTTTTTGTAGAACTCAGCTCGGTCCGTAGGCTGGATCATGTTCATGGAAAACGTTTCTAAGCTATTCGTATTAGTATTCTGTTATGCCTTAGTGTCGGCGCAGTTTCCTGCTGTATGCCGTTCCAATTCCAGTGATTCTCGTACCAAGGGGTCTGGCATCTGCTGTCCATTGTTCAAAGATGAAGTATGTGGCGGATCACAAAGAGGACGATGTAGTTATATCAACACAACCTGTAATATCCCAAACTTCGATAATTATCGAGTTTGGCTGCTACCATATTTTAATTCCATGTGCGTTTGTCAACCTAGTTTCTTCGGTGTTGCTTGTGAGCAATGCTGGTATGGATTAGCACCTACACTTGATGGAAAAAGTTGTATGAAATCGCCTGAAGCGAGAGTCCGACGAGATTTTTTAAATCTGTCTAGTGTTCAACAGGAGAAGTACACAAGCGTATTATAATTGATGAAAAACACACCGTCTAGTTATTATATTGTTGATGGCAAGCCGACGTCGTTCCTCTCTGTTTATGATTACCTGTCCTCCCTTCACTATATTTCTATGACGGCTGCATCGACTGATCTCGCGCACGAAGGTCCTGGCTTCCCCACATGGCATCGTAGATATTTGCTTCTTTTTGAGGAATTGGCTCAGAAAGTTTCTGATGATCCTACATTTGCCTTGCCTTACGTCAATGAATATGATGCGACCGCTATCTCACGAACTGTAGATTTATTGGGCGGAGATGGGCTCAACATCGCTAGCTGTCACGTGGAAGATGCGCATGGGAAAAATTGCGCTTGTCATCTTGCAGCAAACGGTCCTGGCTCTGTCTTCAGCAGTTGGACGGAGATTGGTCCGAATGGTACGTCAAGTGGCAAGCTTTCGCGTGCCTTAGGTTGTAGGAGAACAGCCCAAACACCACCCTCAGCAACTGCGATTGATTTCGCAATTGCAACTAGAAGCTACAGTGAGTCACCTTGGAACTCGGATAGTTCGCTGGTAACATTCACCAATCTTTTGGAAGGTTTTGCGATTGGACCAGTCGGTATCCGAACGGAACCTGCCATAGATAAACCGCGGGACAATCATAATCGTGTACATGTCTACATGGGTGGGACAATGGATGACGTAAAGACAGCTGCATCTGATCCGTTCTTTTGGCTGCACCATGGGTTTGTTGATTTGATGTTGGAGAAATGGATGAAAACACATCCAACCTCGGTGTACCCCTGGACCAATAGTGAGGCTCCTGCTGGACATTCATACAGTGATTGTCAAGCACCATTCGTTCCGCTCCTCTCGCACGCTATCTTCTTTTCAAATTCCCGTGCCTATGGGTACACGTATGACCAAATCGTCGATTCTGCAGTAGTTTCAACAGGCTCTCTTGTAGTTATAACTATAGTAATGACAGCTCTTGTCATTACAGCATCACTGCTCTACTCTTAGTACAGTACGCTATATCAGAACAAAAACCTTCTTAATGCAGAAGCTCTTTTTTATGCTTTATTCTTGGTTCTTTTATTATACCGCAAATCGAATCTTGAATATTTTCTCTCTTGTTTATTTTATTTTGTAAAAGGTACTAGTAATAACAATAATAACTCTTAAAATGACAGCTATATATACGTATATCTTTGAACATATGAAAAAGAGAAAAGAGAAAGATAGAGAGGAATGTTGTCTAGAAACTTTGGTGCAGCTTTTCTTTTTTAAGTAATTCTCTGCCACTATGAGTTAGCCTGATCAGTGTTTTAGTCAGTCTTATCAGGATATAATTTTCTTTCTACATTATTTGTCGTGATTCCTTTCTTTTTTGCAAGTCGAGACCTTTCACTGTCACTTCTTATTGTATGCACATGATCTTCTGCGTCTATCTAGCTATTTTCACTCTTTCATTCTAGTATCTTCGAGATACTGTACAACCGGCCGAACTTTTTTATTATTTTTGTGTGAGAGAAGAGCTAAAGTTCAAAACAGTGTGTGTGATTTGTGTTATATCTTTGTTCTTTATTATCTGTGATTATTACTATATTCGTGCGTATTATTAAACTGGGCTTACTTTAAAGTAAATTAATCAGTCGTAAGTAATTTAGTGTTTGATTAGTTTTTGCTAAGCTAAATTCGAACTCCGGAGATCATCTAGAGAAAGTCAAGAAGACAGAATGGAAGTTAAGACTTAGCAATTGGGGACCTGGCCGTTTTCTCTTTTAGCATTGATAATTTAACAACTAACGTTCATACTAAAATAAAATTAAATTAGTCATGAATAAAGCAAAAATATTACCCATAATTATTAATTCATTGGCCGCTCTTTGGGTAGAGTCGGTGCATATTTAAATAAAAAAGATAGAATAATATTTTTAGTGATCACTGTTTCATTAGAGCAAGTGTTTAACAACAATAATATTGAGAAATAAAAATTTGACTGCTTTCTGTTTAAGGAAGCAGGATAGTCAGGCTCATTTACCTAATCAGGCTTTTTAACACAGGCTAATTGAGCTGATTAATCTTCTCAACGTATACCTCATATGTACTGATAAAATTGATTAAATAGTTTTTAGGAGACATCACTTAAATCAATTACGTATGCATACAGTTCAACTATTTGATTAGTTCTCGTTTCGCCGACTTTTTTCTTAGCTGATTTATTCAAATTCTTGATTTGGAAAAAAGATATAAAGAACAAAAATTAACATTAAATGAATTTTATGATCGATGTATGAAATTGGTATCGTCCCGATTCGTCGACAAATCGGATACTTCAGAGAATATACATCAAAGAATTTCAAAGGCGGGAGGGGCGGTGTGAGAGTGAGTGTCGACGAATCGGGACTGAATCATGAAATTGATTGGTATAAAAAAAGTTTAACTTTTTGTAAGTAGTATAAATAAATTAATTAAGTCGGCGAAACGAGAACTGTAGATTTCTATATTTTTAGAAAAGTCGGCGAAACGAGAATACACCATTTGAAAGTGTATGTTTAAATTGTTAAATGAATATAGAATATCAATTTAATGTAAGTAACAAAAGACTAATAACCATAGTTCATCTGATGAGCTTAAAACAAATTTTTTTGTTATTTTAAAGCAAAAACAAGAATGAAAAAATGAAACAATAAAATTTTGTGAGTTCTATGTAAAGTTTGGGTCCTCTTATAGAAGAATAGAAAAATGTATGTTGATGTGAGTTATGATTCATTACTTACATATTCGTAGTTCAATAAATCGCATTATCACCATCATGCCTTGTTACATGTGGACAAAACCGTTTAGTAGTATCATTGATGTGCATCCTAACTATGAACGGAGTTCGAGAGCAACTGTAATTATCTTTTTTTGGACTCTTCACACTATAAAGACAAAGAGATAATGTACAGCTAGAAATGATCAATAGATGGAACTTAGGACAATTTGCTCATACGCATATAGTCTATCGGTCGAAACAGGCCTTATGTCAAAAAGAAATGTATCTAACATCTGAATTTCTATCGTGCATACTTTCTATTAATTAAAGTTCATCAAAAATCCATCAATTCACACTTTGATTGATTTCATCTTCGTTTATATTATATTATTAAATACGCATTTTCAGACAACAGAAAAATGGTAGGATTACTACTTACACTATCATTACTACAAACGTACTACTATCCGTTTCAAAATACAGTGTACCTACTCGGTTTTTTAATAACTTTTAAGAAACGAAATAGAGACATATTTTTCGCCTCAGGTCGAAGGAACTTGCTGATTTAACATTTCCGAAACTGGTTTTAATTAAAAAAATAAGGTTCTTTACACTGTGTCTTTGTTCATCTGAAAAAACGGCCATAGTCTTCTTTTCTGTCTTCTTGTCACGTGTACACAAAAAGGAAGAAACGAAAAGACGTTACAGCTTTATACAGAATGGAATTACGCTCACCCTTTTCGCTCTCACTTTCAGACGATTTTGCCAGTGAAGATCCACAGGCGGACCTGAATAGATCGATAATTGTCTGAACTTAGATCGTTTGAATCGTTGTCCTACCAGACATTTTATATCGTTTTAATGCATGTTTCGGTCAGTACAAGATGGCCCCAAAGTGGCTTTACCGAGGTAGACACACATTATTCTGTACATTTTTATTTTGAATGAGCTTGTTTTTTTACCAACAAATTCCCCGTTGAATTCTCTACAGAAAATGTATTGACTGTTTTATTGCAAAATCCGAAGGTGCAGCAGAATACCATGAGAAATCGTGCGAAGTACCAAAATGTAGGAAAAAAAACGTATTTTTTCAAAGAGAGCGAAATTTTTTAGAATGGTTTCACAAGCATTAAAACATAGTTTCAGTATAGTTTTGCGTAGTTTCAAATACGCTTTTTCTCGTCGTGTAGTGCGAAAATCATTTGAATCTAAATATCCGACGCAAAGTTTAACTTCTCACCAATCAAGTGAAAATAGCAAAACTTGTTAACTCTTTTTTGCTGGGACAAAAAAAAAAAAACTGAAAAATATTTCAATGACAGATGGAAAATACAGCTTTTGGAGTAGGGGTGTTAATTTAGTGTCACTTTGGAAAATAAATGTAAACGAATCATTTATTTTTTAACTATAAATGACGAATTTATCTTTATTTTTTAAATATAAATGATTCAATTACTTTTATCCATTATTATAAATGAACAATAACACTAAATTAACACCCCTATTTTGGAGACTTACCCGGCCTTTCCTTTCTCACAAACTTTTAGCAGACAATACTAAAAGAAACTGTTAACTACATTTATTTTTTCTACATTTTGGTACTTCGCACAATTTCTCATGGCATTCTGCACCTTCGGATTTTGCAATAAAACAGTCAATATATTTTTTGTAGAGAACTTAACGGGGAATCTTTTGATACAAGTACGAGCTCAATCAAAATAAAAATGTACAGAAAAATATGTGTCTACCTCGGTAAAGCCAATTTTGGGCCACCGTCTAGTATCATCAGGCTTGGTGAAAGAAGACGCCGCTACAACTGCACTTTGAAATCTATGGTACTCTCTTAAAATAAACTCAATTAAAGAGCTTATGATGACTTTATTTTTCGATAGAAAAATATTTTCTCTGCAAACTACGTTAATATATTGGGTTACTTCCACCTTTGTTTCCCCGAAAAACCATAAACCTTTCGAGGTTCTGCCATTTTTTCTTTGATTTTTGCTGTTCAATTCAAGAGAAAATGCTGATTTTATTTATCTTTGATAATAAAAACGTGTGCCTCTAGATAACATTCTAGCTTTTTCTCCCTACTTTTTATCATACTCCTTGGTCACTTTCAGATGGAAAGCATCGTCATATTCTCTATGCATGTATTTTTAAATAGGAGATGCCCAGGCGTAAAAAAATTGACAAAAAACGGCGTTAAAGGTTGAAAAGCCAACGCTTTTTTTGTCGTTTAAACGCATTTTCTTTATCTATTTATTTGAAAACCCGTTTTTTGAAATCTCACAACGCGTTAGAGAACGCGTTTTTCGATGAATGTGAACGACAATGAAAACGTTAATCAACGCGTTTTGAAATGATTCAGAAATGAAAACAGAGAGAAGATACAGAGGTTTGAGCCATCAACTTTTGTTCCATCATTCTTCCCGTTTTTCTATTCGGCCATACACTGTAAAAAATAAAGTGTACCCGAGGCACACTGGATGTGCACATCATCTTGGACTGTTTTAGCACACTGACAATGGCTTGTCCAGTGTGCCTGTAACACACAGGAATTGCTCATGTAGCGTTCACAGACAGAACGAGTAAAAAGACCAAAGAGAAGAATAATTCTTCCGTTCTTTTTTCGGCAGAGAAACGTAAGATAAAAATTCAGATTACACAATGACATTTTACACATCACTTTGGACTCGAAATGCATACTAGGTAGAATGCCCACTGGTAGGCATGCTTTATTTTTTAAAGCGTATTCTTCTGACATTACATTTGCTGACAACAAACTACTGGAGAGCAGTAAAATGAGTACTTAACGAAAAATTTCCATTTCAAGAAAGAGTCGTTATAAACGGCAAGGAAAAATTCGTTTTTCGCAAACGATCGTTAAAAAGGTCGTTTAAACGCGTTTTTTGCCGTTCAAAAGTTTAGAATAACCCGTTCTTCGACAACGCGTTTCCTAATGATCGTTAAATTAACCGTTTTCTGGCGTTTTTATTGAACACGTTTTCTAACGACGTTAAAATGATATAACTTCGAATTTCTTTCCTTTTTGCAAATGCGCTTAGAAACGATACTTTAAAACGCGTTTCAACGGCCATTGTAACGTCGTTCGAAAACGCACTCAACAAAAACGCCAGAAAACGGTTAATTTAGCGATCGCTGGCAAACTCGTTGTCAAAGAATGCGTGATTTTAAACTTTTGAACGACAAAAAACGCGTTTAAGCAGTTCTTTTAACGATCGTTTGCTAATGCGGTCGAAAA